AATTATAACATTGTTGAGGTAACAAACAAGATTTCATTTCTTGTGATCAAATTACAATCTCTCTGATGGATTTAAGATGTCACTCATGATTGGTTCAATGTGTACACAAACCTCAAGCCTTCAAAAATATGAGCTTTGTCCTTTGCCATACGGTTGTATTTTTCAAAAACATCAGTGCGTAATCCTCTTACTTGCTCTTTTCTTGTAATCTCAAGCATTAGTCACCTATAAGGCTATCTGTGTTGAGGTGCTGTGTAGGGTCCAGCAGCTTATTGATAATTCCTAGAAGAGAAGCCATTGCAAGTGGCTTCATCTATTAAAGGCCAGGGTGCCTGTATGAGTTTTTTATGGCCTGTTTTGCTAGTGTGCTGGGGGGCTGCTCTAAGCCTAAGGCTTGTGTGGCTGTGTTTCTACCCAGGAAACTCTAAATTCTATAGCTTGCTGAGCTTGCTGGTCTTGCTGTTTGCTATTTGTTTGCTGGTTTTGCTCTGCTCTGTAACTGTTGTTGCTGCTGTTTGGGGTTAGCTGGGTGGATCCTGTTTGTGTGCTGCTGTGAGCCTGTGCTCTGTAGCAGTCTGTTGAGCTGCTGAGCTGGGCTTTGTTTGGTGTGTGTTTGCATTGGTGAAGTCAGGTCCTGGTCTGCTATTTCAATGGCTGGGGCTGTGGTGCTGGTGGCCTGCTGGGTTCGTCTTGCTGCTACTGTCCATGTTTTTTCTGCCTTGTTGTAGCTGTCCTACTAGTTTCTGTTTTTCTGACGGCTGAGCCTGTGTTGTGGTGCTGCTGATGGTGTCTGTTTTTCTGTTTGCTGTTGCTGCTACTAGTGGAAGCTGATGGATCTGCATGCTCGTGCAGTCTGTGTGCTGGGGTGATGTTGGGGGTTTGCTGGGTTGGTGCAGTTGTTTGGGGTGCTGTCTGGTGGTTTATTGGTTTGCTGTTGGCTGTGAGTTGTTGTTTCTGTTGCTGCTGGGTGTGTGATTGCTAGTTTGAAGTCTGTTCCTGGGCTGCTGGTCACTGTGTTGCTGCTCAGTTGATGCCCTGCTGTATTTTTTGTAGTGAAACGCTGCTGTCTTAGTGTATAGGATGAACCTTGTTTAAATTAAACATATTTAAATATATCCTCATAAGAAGAAATGGCATAAGTTGTTGAAATTCATGTGACACGTGTAAATTGTTCCATACTTAAGTGAACTAAACATATTTGTCGGATTATAAGCTTTTAGCAGCTTTCCAAGTGAACTAAGTGATTCTTGGGAAAGAAATCTTCTTATAGGGTTGTAAATAGTGCAAAACTTTCATTCTTGTAAAAAATTTACGATATGTCTTTTCTCAAATCAATCATACTTGTATATTCTTAATTCCCATGCATATATGTAACACAATTTATTAATAATATTGCAGCCAAAAAAAAAAAAAAAACAGGTCAATGGCAACGGTTTAACCGTTGCCAATTATTAAAAAAAAAAAAAAAAAAAAAAAAATATTGGTCAATGGCAACGGTTTAACCGTTGCCAAATTGCTTGAGTTGGAAACGGTTAACCGTTGCCAATTGCTTGAGTTGGCAACGGTTTTTGAACCGTTGCCAATTATTTTGGGATTTGGCAACCCTCAAATACGCAACGGTTCAAAACCGTTGTCTTTGCGGGGGTTTGAACCGTTGCCAATTTGCTCTTTTCGTGTAGTGTTGGCAGTTGGACAAAGGGTAGGATTACCAATAGAGTACCAAAAGCGTCTTTGAGAATATATACCTTTAACATAAATATATTTGTATTGCTTCTACTCTTTAGTAAACAACTTACCATATGATCATGTATTAATGGCTTCATGTTAATTATTACCATTATGCTTGCATTCATTGTTAAGATACTTTTACCAACTTGATTGATGTTAAAATAGTAAGCTTCCTTCAGTGATAATCATAATTAGAAATGTAAATTACTATCAAGGCCGTCCTTGAGGGATGACCCTGGTAAAAAGAACCTGCGTGGTCATATCAGGCCATCTGGATCATACATACCCTGCTGGGTGTGTACCTTTGCGCCCTTCCCACTTCCCACACGCTTTGGCCCCATCATCTTAATAAGAAATCAAAACTAATACTTCCTCCGTTTCTAATTAGATGACACGTTTCTTTTATCACGTTTGCCAACGCATAATTTTAACGATTTATATCTCCCATTATCAACATAGTAAAGTATGATGATTGCTGTATAGGAGAACAAAGTAGCATATGTTGAATGATCTGCCTTTATTATTTACAGGTTGACGAAAGCAATGCTGATACCAAAGAGGGCGAAACAGAAGTGAGGTCCAGAGATATCGGATCAATGATTTCTAGCCCAAACAAAGCGTAAGAGCAACAAATCAGAAAAATTGTCTGCACAAGCCTCACCATCATCCTCAGTGGTCCAGACTCCAACAGCCGAAGGTTCTTCCAGCCTGAACATCAAGTTTATCCCGGGAGTTGCATTGGTGTCCATAGTTCTTGGTGTGATCCTAGGGAAAAGATATTAACTTTCGCTTTATTATTATCTGATTGAATTCTGGCTTTATTTATTCAAGATTGGTGAATTGATATAACTCAAGTCTTCAAATTGGTGGTTGTTAAGTTTTTAGTTTTATGTCCACCAAGAAGCAGTTTTTGGTTATGTAATTATCACTTGGTTATTTAATGGTGGTGATTTTCTTTTTATATAATTATTTTGGATTGCAAAATTTGTGAATTTTGGGAGTTGGGAAATGATATTCATGAAAGTTAATATGCCTTCCACTAATAGAATGTTATTTTCGTTGGTTTGTATAAAAATGTTATAGAAGTTTTTAGCTTTTAAATTTTTTTTTGTTTTGTTGTCCACACGATTTGCTATTTTATCATTCAATAATTCAAATAATAGAACCATATAGTAACACTAGATTCAGTAAGGCAATAATCTCCTCAACACTCAGCACTTACAAGACTACTGACTAGATGTGATGTAGCAGGACTTGATTGCATGTCATCCAAAATCTTATTGCATTATTTTTTCTTTTTCGGAAATTCATTTAAAATACGTCTTGATCGATTTATACTTTAGCATGGAAAAGTAAATATCGGCATGAATTAAGTTCAATTCATATTAGTGATATAACCTAGATGATTTTTAATTAGAGGAAACACACTACACACCCTTATGAAAAGCTTTTGTTTTCTTAATTGAATTTGCATGAATTATGAAAATTTTGGAAGATGTATAATACTTCGATAAGTATTTAAGGAGTATTCATTTGAAGATATATTAACTTTAGCTAAGGAATGTTGCTACTACGCTATCACCAACAAGCATCCAAATAGATGCATAGCAAAAGGAGCAAAGTTAGGCAAATATGGTCCATATCAAGAGCATATACTTTGGTTGTGGTAGATGAGAAGTTCTACCAATTTAATAGCCACATCCGATCATACAAAAGTACGATTTTCAAATAAAGCTTAAAAATAGGTTGATTATTACATTAGCTCAAATTTGGGTCGCTAATAATGTCATAAACTAACTTTGTTAAATCGCATTTGAACTAAACTATCCTTTAATGTAGAAGATCATCCACATGCATGTGTACAACAATTTTGGCACACCAAAAATAATTTTATTGGGTCGATTTCAAGTCAGATTAAGATTCACAAGTTCTAGTGATAAAAATAGCTAAGAGTAAAAACATGAAATAGAAACAAAAATCACTATACGTTCTAGATAGATTGCACTCTTCAGTCTACACCCCCACATTCCCAGTTTCCCACTATGCATGTACACATTTACACAACACAAATCATTCGTACAGATAATCATATCCAAATAAAAAGCATATATGCTTCATTTGAGTTTTCCTAGATTACAACTATTGTAATTGAAGTAGAGGGAAATCTCAAACAAAAACATCACAATAATGGCAGACAGCTAAATCAGAAATTGTTCACAAAATGTGTAATTTACACTATTTGGAATAATCAATAATGTGGCCTTATTACAAACAAACAATGATTACTAGAATTAGTGTGTGTGTGACCATACCAATTCTTCTAGAGTCCTACACATATAGAAGTAGCCAAATTGGTCCCCTTATGTTTTGAGAAAAAAGAAAAAAGTTTAACTCGAGTTCGTGGGTGAATGTGGATCAACGAGCTAACAAGATTTGGTTAGCCCCAATAATATAACTATTGAGAGTCTATGATACATAAGTTATCGATAAAGAAAAAACCTGAATTCGTGAAATCACTATTTTGCTTTTGAATATATATCTCGAAGATGCTTCTCATAGTTAAGAAAATACAATTAAATTCAACTCAAGCTTGAAAAGTGTAACACCTTTTGATCACAAACTTTTTTAATAGGAGTACAAAAAAAGAATCCAATTTCTCAAAAAGTAACATGTACCTTTCCTTACTTTATCCCCTCAATTATTTTCGAAACATTTACACAACTTTTGATCATCTTTATGTACTTCTTCTCTACCACCCAATATTCATCCAATAATCAATAATTCATCCATTCCAATCAAACTTTGTAATATGAACATATAATCATACTTTAATTCCCCATGATATTACTATTATTAGTAACACAACTATAATTAGAAGGTTGCCAAGCTGAGGCAGTAAGCAAAGACATACCCTTCCACCCTAACCTTAAACACCCATTTTCCTCCATCAATGTGTACCCTTTCCATGGGAACATCTCTAACAACAAACTCGCCTGCGCAGCCGGGCTACCAGAAAGCGACACTGGCTCAAACCCGAAACGACTAAGGTTGTCCCCCCACCGGCGGCTTACATTCAACCATCAACATCATCACACGCTAGGATGTTCCTTATCTCGCTCCCAAATAGTTGCTGCTCCACTTGATGACGTAATACATTGTCTCTACTCAATCCCTCACCTAAGGCATCAAACATAGCCGAATAATAATGCAATGTTTCTATAAACCTCTCCAAAAACGACCCCGTTTCGAAAATGTCAATGTTTTGAGTGACCATGGTAACTAACTTAGGCTTTACCGTACTCAATACCCTCAACAATCCGAAATTAGACCCAATTATATCATACAATTTATGATGCATACAATGCACCACGGTCGCCTCATTCGCTCGAAAATCGATTCGACTCAACTCTAACTCGGACATGTCCCCGAACTTACCCTCAACGGGGTTAAACTTAAAGGGCAACCCGAGCGAGGCGGCGAACTGGGCGAGCCGAGAGCCAGTCTGAGCGAGCAACTCCGAGGACGGGCCGAACCCGGTGAGTCTCACCGAGCTAACCTTCTTCGCACGAGAGGCCAAGATGTGGAACAAACCAGGCCACTGGAGACCCTGCATAACATCAAGATCAATGATGTGGACTCGATCGAACCCGTGAACAGCCTCGAAGATGGCTTGATTGGCGGTAAAATGAGAGAATTTGACGAAGGGTGCGAGAGAGTTAAACGTTTGTAAAGCGGAATGAAAGGTTTTAAGTTGGGAGGACAGAGTGATGGATTTGAGAAGGGGGTGACGTGGAGGAGAGAGAAAGTGAAGGAAGAGACGAGAGTGGAGAGAGTGAGCGAAGAAGGCGGCGATACGGTCAGCGGGAGAGGAGGCGAAAGGGGACGAGAGGTGGAAGATTTCGGGGAGGAGGTCGGTGGCGGAGGCGGCGTTGTTGGATGAGACGAGATGGGCGCATTTGAGGAGGAGGGAGAGGAGGTGGAGGGAAGTGGAGGAGTCTGAAGGGGTGAGTGTGTGCATGATGAGGGGATTTCTTGAGTGTTAAAGATGAGACTATGAGAGTAGAGAAAGTGAGTGATGTTATTAGGAATAAGGAGGTGGCTTTTTGGAGAGGAGAATTGACTACACTGGAGGTAGAGACAAGATTACTGTGTTATCTTTTGGACTTTCAGTCATGTTTTTTCTACACAAGGAAGATTCACGGCTTGCTTTAGTTTAGGATCAACTAGAGGTAATCAAAGTTAGCTCGGCCGATTTTTGGCAGTTTTTTGGGCTGAAATCAGCCCGGCCTAATTTTTTTTGGGCGGGTTTGGGAATACGTTTTTATGCATATTTAGTTGATTTTTTTAGGTTCGGCCTGAAAATGGCCCGAAAAGCCCGTACGATCCGACCATTTTTAGCGGGTTTGGGCACAAAAAATCTGGCCCAAAGCTTGACCCGACTCGAGAAGTGGGCATAATTTTTCAGCTTCGGCCCAGCCCGCCCAATGATCACCTCTAGGATAACCTTTATTACTCCCTCTATTTTTTGTGCAAATTGCAACTATCTAAAATATGTATTTTGTAAATTACAACTATTTAAAAAAAATTATAACATATGTGCCTTAATTTACGTACTAAAGATAATGTAAACGAAAAATGACTCCTAAAATAAGGCTCTCGTGAAGAGGTGTGACTACACCAACCACCTCTACACTTTGATCACTCTCAACAAATTCATTGCCACCACTATCACCATTGTTGATCATCATGCACCGCCTCATTTGGAGTTTGCCACATGGATTGCAAATGTGAAAAAACAGCACTTATGCAACGTACCCTTCATGTAGGCCGAGATTTATGTACATGGTGTAGGAAATCACCTTTACACTTGTTTTAAAACTAAGCTATTTAGGAAATTCTAAGGCTTCCTATTTAAATCTCTGTTTCCTATTTAAGTCTCTTTTTCTCAAAACCAAAACTTCTTTGATTAGAAACTATTAAAAAAAAAAACTTAAAGGGTTTTGGAAAACGTAGCTCAACTCCGTAAGTTAACAATGTTTGAAAGTAGAGGCATTTATATTTGCTATTTTGCCCCTTAAGAATCTAAATTCAGCTTGAAATCGATAAAAAATAACGTAATTGTCTCATTTTACTTTTTTTTTTTATGCTAAATCCAAGCTCAATTTAGACCATTAATGACCAATGCCCCCGACGCCTTTAAAAAAACCTTTTTTAATCACGTAATTCTAGAAGAAAAAAAAAGTAACCCCATTAACGACCACATAATAACAAGGTTACCATATACAAATAGCTACGAAGTACTAATTATAGTAGAGGGGTACAATATGTAACGTATTAAAAGAGAGGGCGCACAACTTTAAAACACACAATATTATAGGATTACTAAGAGCATCTACAATGGTTGTGCATAAGGACCTACTAGCAATTTCTAAATAATTGCTAGCTACGTGCTAGCCATTGTGGAGCTACAACCTCTTGTAGCTAAGCCAAACTACATAGCTCTATAGAGCTATTTAGTTTCACTCCACCCAATGCTATTATATTTATTTGTTTAATATATTTTATGTATTTGTTTGTTTATTTATTTATTATTTTATGGTTTATTTATTACAAAATAATGTAGCTTACCATTGTAGAGGCTGTAGCTTAAATCATATAGCTTGGAGATTTATGATGTGGCAACCCAAATTTACATGTACATGTAGCTAGCCATTGTGGATGCTCTAAGGAATTTTCCAAAAACGTTTTAATTTTGGCAAATTTTCCTATTTATTAATCATAGAATCCGATAGATACAATGATACATAATTAAACGGGGTGACGTAGACCTGTCTGTCCTCCTCTGTTGAAGCACACTCCACGTTCTCCTTTGAGTCAATCCTCCATTGAAGCAGCTTTTGAGGTAAGTAAGATGTTGTTTCTTCTTGTAATCACCAAATATAAATTTCACAATCTAGGGTTTCTCGTTTATTTAGGTCTCACTATACTCAATTTAGGGTTCTTCTATACACGAATAATGAATAAATTGTTATAATTATTTAGGTTAAGAAATATCAGAACGAACGATTTTGTTGCTAGAGTAGAATATTATGTGATATTCAACCCTAATTTGATGACTGAATTAATTAAATTAGTACTAATTCATATTCCTCTGTAGCAATTTGCTCTTTGTTTTAGTGTCTGTCAACTATACAAGATGGAATCTGAAGAAAAAAAGAGAATGAGGGGATCATTATAATCTATAGAGACAAATAAGTGGGCTCGTACACATGATGTGCATGTTAGAAGTGAACTAGTGGTTGAAATTCTATTGTCAGTCTCTATAACAACAGCGGAAGCAGGGGATTGTGGGAAGTCTATGGATATATATATGTCTATGACGCTGTTTAAAGTAGTAGCGAGTCTTATATCTATGAAAGATACTTAGGAGATGATGATACTGAGATAATCACTTTCCATGGGGGTACATTAAGCCTCACAAGGCCTGATGACGTTATGTCAATGGATGAACCAACCATTTTTATTGATATTTGGGACAAAATATCAGGTGAAACCATTATTAATCGGTTTTGCCTCTCTTGATAAGACTATTGATACTGGTAAACAAGATCATCAGTTTGAACAATTCAAAAAACTTGTGGTTTGTGGCACTAGTTGTTCTGCAGAGATGGAGTATCTTGCTTTGACTTTTGGTGTTTTTGCTCCTATTGATGTCCGACTCGTTAAACAACAAGTTTCGGGAAGTGGGAGCAACAAATTAGAAGAAGAACAAGAACTTGAGGTTTATGGGACAATTTATGCTACTTATAATCTCTTATATTCTGAAAATAAAGTTAATCGCATTGTCCTTTTTGAGATTAAGGAGGATTCTAATGAGTCTGAACCGGTGACATTGGGGCTTCCTATAATTATGTCTAGATCCGTTGTGGCTGTGCTGACATATTCATCTATCACAGTTCAAGTAGAATTGTGGGATCGTGCTACAGAGTTGCATAATTCAGAGTATCCAAAGGTAACCGACTGCTTTCTTTACACTTTTCTTTGTTTTTCTTTTTCGAAAATGGTAGCACAAAAGCACCTGGCACGGCCTAGGTTAGTGATCAACCGGTCACCGGGGACGGCTGAATCTAGAACTAGGAGTGCCGCCTGCCCCCTGCTGGACCACCCTTTGCGAACTAGGAGTCCGACTGTCTCTGTGTCTGTGCAGGATACCATGGCAAGAACTAAAGAACAACAAGAATCACAAATTCAGACGGCTCTTCATATTACATCCCTGTTAGCGAGGTTTCGGATGTGCCGCCTGGTGCACCCAGCACCCCAAACGACTCAATCTTAAGAGAGTCTGAAAAGGAGGCTGAGAGTGCGCCCTTCTCTATTGTCCTATCAGAACAGGCGGTGGGTGCGCCTGAAAGTTCAAGTGACTCAGAGACGAGCACGTCTAGTCGGTACTCTGCCGACTCCGAGGAAAAGCATTCTCGGTTGCATGAGGCGAGAGAAAGTCTCGCTGTTGAAAGGGGAGACGGCTGGGCTGAGTCGTCTGCTTCAAGAAGAGAGTGGCATACTCCTTATTTCTGCCATGTTCCAAGAGGCAGATCCAAGGTAATGGCTGAGAGACTGGGGAGCTTTGTTTCTTAATTTTTTATGGGCCGAGACTTCATTCTTCATGTGCCGGATGCCGAGGATACAGTCCTCTGGCCAGCTAAAGCCAGTTACGGGGACAAGTGTTTTGGCTGCTATGAGGCGGCTATCAGGGCTGGTCTAAGATTTCCTCTACATCCGGCTGTAGAGAGGATATTGGACGGGTACCAGATTGGCCTTTAGCAGTTGGCCCCAAACTCTTGGTTCAACATCCTCGGCTTCGTAGCCGCCTGTGAAATGTATGGGGTAGACGCCGGTTTTGAAGCGTTTGCCCACATGAATTACCTCAGCCGGACCCCTAAAGCAAGCGGGTACCGGCTGGTACTAAATTACTAGCCATAAAGGCTATATGATGACAATGGGGAAGGAAAATAAATGGAAGGATTGGAGGAACACCTTCTTCATTGTCTCCAGCCCCAACAAAATCCAAAACCAAAAGTTTAATAGGTGGAATAGAGATCCACCCCTCCTAGCAGGCGCCTCGATCCTGCCGCCTGTCACTAGTAGAAAAAACTAAATAGGCAACCCCCCTATGGCAGCGGTTCATGAAAACCGTTGCCAACTAAAATGATCGCCAATTAAAATTTCAGAGTTGGCAACGGTTAACCGTTGCCAACTGATTATTTTTTTTTTAAAAAGAAAAAAAAAATAAAAGGGTTAGAGTTGGCAACGGTTAACCGTTGCCAATTGATTATTTAAAAAAAAAATAATAAATAAATAAAAGGATTAGTGTTGGCAAAGGATTAGTGTTGCCAATTAATAAAAAAAAAATTTGGGCTCCTTTTATTCTTTCCCTCAGCCGAAAATAAATCATTCTCGTTCTCTCTCATCTCCCTCAAATTCATTCTCGTTCTCTCTCATCTCCTTCAAATTCATTCTCGTTCTCTCTCATCTCCAATTCATTCAGAGCTCCTTCTCTCTCATCTCCCTTATAATTATCTCCATTATCTTGCATGCACCTCAGATCTCTCCAATTCATATTCGCAAGGTATTTTTTAGAATTTTTTTGGTTTTTTTCGTGTTTTAATTTCTGGGTTCGAAATTTTTTCGTTTTTTTGGGGTTTTTTCTAGGTTTGAATACTTGGTTTTTTTTTTTTGTTTTTTCTGGATTTTTTCTCGGTTTCTTAGTTTCTTGAATTTTTTGGGTTTTTTGGGTTTAAATTTCTGGGTTCGGATTTTTTTCGAACTTTTGGGTTCGAATTCCTTTGGTTTTTTCTGGGTTTTTGGGTTCGGATTGTTTTCTGGGTTTCGAATTTGCATGCACCTCAGATCTCTCCAATTCATATTCGCAAGGTATTTTTTAGAATTTTTTTGGTTTTTTTCGTGTTTTAATTTCTGGGTTCGAAATTTTTTCGTTTTTTTTGGGATTTTTCTAGGTTTGAATACCTGGTTTTTTTTTTTTTTTTTTGCTTTTTTCTCGATTTTTTCTCGGTTTCTTAGTTTCTTGAATTTTTTGGGTTTTTTGGGTTTAAATTTCTGGGTTCGGATTTTTTTCGAATTTTTGGGTTCGAATTCCT